ATCGATGTCAGTGCAGCACGTGGCCCATGAAGGTCATGAATGTCTGTTTGAGAAAACTGCTCATGAATTTGTGGTCAGCGGATGCATTTTGGGGTAAAGTGATTCCACAGTTTGACACACGAGTGGGACTTTTCTCACATGCAAACCTTTTTAACAGATGAGCAGGAGCTCCCAGAGCTGAGGATCGTCCTGTTCGGGAGGACGACGGTTGGGAAAAGTACGCTAGGAGGCATCATCCTGGGCGACAGTGCTGCATTCACGTCGAGCGATCCTCATGGAGAGCGCACAAAGACCTGCCACGTGGAAAGAAAGACGGACTCTGACAGTCACAGCGTGGTTGTTGTGGACACTCCGGGTCTGTTTAAAATGGGATCGAGTGAAGAGGACGTGGTGAAAGAGATCAAGTGGGCCACTGAAAACGTTGAACCTGGTCCTCATGTGTTCCTGTTGGTGGAAAGGCTCAAAATCATCACGTCTGAAGAGTTAAAAGCACTGCAGGTTTTTGAACGCACTTTTGGCAAACGTGCAGTGGCCTACGCTACGCTGGTGTTCACCCACAAAAACGACCCGCGAGGGAACGAAGCTGACATAAAAGAGGACATGAAAGGCAACGAGCACCTCAGGGAGCTGATTGAACGGTGCCAGTGGAGATATTTTATTTTTAACATTGCTGACAGGAGCCCTGTTCAAGTCGCCGAGCTGCTGGAGAAGATAACTCAGGAGAGACAAGATCACTCGGACTTCTTCTACACGCCTCAGATGCTGCAGGCGGCTGAAACAGCTGCGAACGAGGAGCGAAGCGAAGACGACCGCGGGAGGAAAGCATCAGGAAACAGACTGGCTGTTCTTGAGAAGAGCGGATTGGTGGGAATATTTCTCGGGAGTGTTGTTGGGTATTTTAGCTGTGGTGGTGAGCTGACACCTACATCAGGAGCTCTACTGGGAGCTTTACTGGGTATGACACTGATAATGGGAATGACATTTTCAGGGATCTGTGCATTCGAGAAATACCATAAAAAGTGACTTTTCACTCATCTGCAGGGAATCCTGAAGCTTTCTAAAGTTAATTACAGCATCAGCACAGTGTGACACACTGACGAGCATCTGTGAGAGAGGGCTGCTCGATCTATAGTCCTGTGAAGACATGGGCGCAGCCCAAAGGGAATATAAAAACCATCCACTGACAAGACACTGCCCCCTGTTGGTGAAACAAGCCACAACATGCTGCATGGCCAAAAGCAGCGTCTCACAGAAGAACGCAGCAGATAAACCCCAAGAATTACACGTCAAACGAGTCAACACATGTTCATCTGTTAAACTACAGAACCAGTCTGACCTCTGAGCAGCGGATCAGGACAAAGCTGCTCAAAGAAACAGGAGTGGATTCAACGTGCATCGTTATACAAGCACAACATGCAGTGAAATGTGACCTGATGCGCTCCTCGACTGAGCAGAAACAGAGAACATTAAAGTAAATACATGCAAAGAGGACATTATGTGCAGTAAGTGAGTGAATTATATACATCAAGTAAATTCAATAGAATAAAACAATCTGGA